CTGTGGGGAAACCCCATAAACCGATTCGACTGCGACTTCCTACAGGTGGCTGTACTTCTAATCCCCAGCAGATTGTTTCCCGTTTCTCAGACTTCCTTTTGCGCCTCTATGCTAAACCAGATCCCTTCCCCGTGGCTCAAGCAGAGGCATTCTTTCAAGATCTCCGACTTCCTGAGTTATCCGAGGCAGCACAGGTGGCACTCAACGCCGGTGTCACTGTACCAAAAGTGCTCCAAGCTATCAAATCTTTACGGTCCACCGTGGCCCCAGGTCCCGACGGCTTTTCCGGTCTTTATTATAAAGAAATTCTCAGCCTTGTTGGCGCCCTTTTTGGCTGACTATTTTAATGCGTTACGACAGGGCTCCTTGCCCTCTCCAGATGCGCTTAGAGCGCATATCGCCATGATTCCTAAGACGACCAATGATGTACAGGAACCGCAAGCCTTCCGGCCCATTTCTCTTCTTAATGAAGACCTGAAGATATTGGGCAAGATCCTTAGGTTTCGCATCAATAAATATTTGCGTAGCCTGGTCCACAGGGACCAAGTAGGGTTCGTCCCCGGGAGGAGGCAGGCGGGTGATAACGTTCACAAGGTGGTCCATCTTATACATTTTCTGCAACAGCGGAAAATCCCGGGATTCTTACTGTCTTTAGACATATATAAAGTCTTTGATTCTCTATCCTGGGAATATCTGCGGTTTGTGCTGTCTCGTTGGGGTTTTGGGGATTCTATTCTTTCTTGGATTCAGGCCTTGTATTCTTCTCCTTCGGCCTCCGTTAAATACGCTGAGTATTTTTCAGATCCCTTTCCTATTGGGCGAGGGACGAGACATGGTTGCTTCCTGTCCCCAGCGCTCTTTGTCCTGGCGCTTGAGCCGCTGGCTTTGGCGCTTCGGACCGATTGCAATGTATCGGGGGTTCCTTACGCGGGACAGGAGTTCAAACTGAACCTTTTTGCGGACGATGCCCTCCTGACTCTTACTAACCCCCTGACGACGCTTCCTAATTTGCAACAGGTTCTTGAGCGCTTCTCCTTGATTTCGGGTCTCCGTATCAACTTGGATAAGACTGTTGCCCTCAATATTACTTTGGCTTCAGATTTGGTTTCGCGCCTACAATCCCACTTCCCTTACAAATGGGCTTCCTCTTCTCTTGAATACTTAGGCATTCGCTTGACCCCCACTTATGACTCCTTGTTTGCTGCGAATTATTATCCATTGCTTAGCTCTCTATCCTCTCTTATGCATTCTTGGCAATTTCCGCACCTGTCTTGCATAGGACGGGTTAATTCGGTGAAAATGACCATCTTGCCGAAATTGTTGTATTATTTTCGCACACTCCCGGTGCGGGTTCCCCCTCATTTTCTTCGGTTGCTTCAGGCGAAGTTAATGCGTTTTATCTGGGCCGATAAGCACCCCAGAGTATCCAAAAATACGCTTTTTGCCCATAGACTTCAGGGTGGTCTTGGGGTGCCTAATGTAACCAAGTATTATCAAGTGAGCCAGATTGCCCCGCTGTCTATGTTGCACGCCTCTTCCAACGTCCCCCTTTGGGTCCTGTTGGAACTACCCAAGTGTGCCCCTATCGCACTGTCGACGCTTCTATGGCTTCCCCCTGCCCTGCGCCCTATGGCACCGAGTCCGATGTTACTTCATGGCTTACAAGTCTGGGACTCGGTACGTTACTCTGCTGGCCTGATGTCACCTTTTCTGCCTTAGCTCCCAATTATTAACAACCCTCTTTTCCCACCGGGTTTAGATCACCCAGGGGAGTTTTCTTGGTGGGTGACTAATGGTTTTTTTGCAGGTGCAACACTTTTTGATTTTTCGGTCCTTTCCCCCTGGAACTCTCTTCGGGAATCCCGGAATATCCTCCCGGCGGAATTCTTTCGATATCTTCAACTGCGACACTGGCTGCTCTCGCTGCGGGGCACTTCTGCTTTCCCGTACCAGAAATCTGCCTTTGAACAGCTTTGCCAACAGCGTCCGGGCCTTATATCCCTTCTTTATGCAGCTCTGAACAGACGCTCGTCGCATACTTCTCTTTCATATGTTGTTCAGTGGGAGCGCGACCTGGGAGTGGCTGTGGATCCGGAGGACTGGAATAAGGCCTGGTCACTCATAGCTAAATGCTCATTTAATACGACCACACTGGAGGCAGCCTATAAGGTATTGTTTCGTTGGTACTGGGTTCCGGCTCGGTGGCCTCTTGGCTCACCAGCAGAAGTTGGCTTCCTATCTGTTTTTTATCCACCACTAGAACAATTGCTCAGGCCTGGAAGAGTCCGTTTGTCCCTCTTCAGGGGGTGCGGGATCGTATGACCACTATGATGCTCAACGAACAGATGTAGAGTATCTGCAACGACTCCCAACGTAAATTTTTGAAAATATGGGAGCCGTGGTTGCAATATGCCTTTCCCTCACTCCCCCCAGCTAGTCTGGGGATGTAATGGCATTCGGTATTGGCGCTCTTGGACCCCTGCTCTTTGCCCCCCCCTTTTTTTTTTCTTTCCTCTTTCTTCCTTTTTCTCTCTCTCTCTGTTTTTGGTGTGACTGGACAGCTGCATTTAGTTGTTATAGGCAGTAACATTAATGTTTTGCAACTTATGTGCCATTGATAGCCTCTGCGTGGGCGTACCTTTTGCCCTGTTGGCGTTAGAGCACGGTTTTTTTTTTTTTTATTTTGCATTTTTTTATCTGTGCAATTGATAGCCCCTGCGTGGGCGTGTTTTATTGCCTCTGCTTTATATGGTTTAAAAAATTAATAAAAACCATTGAAATAGAAAATAACACTTCAACAACCAGAGAAGGAAGCAGGGATGGCACTTCTGGATATATATTTATATTATCTGGCAGGGCAACAAACATTTACAGGCATGGGTAAAAGAGGGAGAGGGAGGATTAGATGAATAGTGGGATTGGAGAAAAATTCGAAGTTATCTATGGTCAGGATTCCATTTTTTACATTGGCAAGACCTGTATGGAATGAGGTTAAGAAATTGACAGGATTTAAAAATATACCCGGGAAACCCCAATTTGGAATATTGCACCTTTGGAACAGCTAAATGGAATTATAGATTGGGAATTTTGAAACAGAGGAGTAACAACGTTGGCACATATGTATAAACAAGGGGTTATACAAACATTTGAATATTTGAGGAAACATGGTACTTCCCATAATTTTTTTATAAGTATTTACAACTGAGGCATGTTTTAAAAATGGGCAATTTGGAAAAAGATTGCAGGATATCAAAATATCCCCTTATAAGCAATTCTGAGGTCCCAGGGGCTATAAGGATTAATATCAATATATTAATTCTTATTACAAGCTAAAATTGGTGGAGAACCATTAAATTTGAGGGACAAGTGGCAAGAAATTATTTAAATAATATACAAAAATATAAGGGAGGAGATATGATCCTCACATTTGGCTGTTTCACCAGCAATTATTAATAAAATTATTCAATTGTATATTATACAAACGTATCTTGGTCCCATTCGGATGTACAGAATGAGTAGAAAGACTACGTCTGAATGTTTAAGTTGTCAGGAAAGTGACGCACATTTTGGTCATTTGATTTAGACATGTGGAGAGGGCAATGGGATATAAGATTCAAGTAACAAATGATCAGAAAGAAAAAAAAAAAAAAAAAAACGATGCCTTGTAGTCCAAAAGTATGTTTGTTGGGGATGATAATAAATAGTTGAGATATGTAAAGAACGTTTTGCAAGAAACATTTATGGCGTGAAAACAGATTGATAGAGGGGAGTTTATGTTGCATCCATCTCATAGCAATCAATGAATTGAAGCAGTTAATCACATTGTATCATATGAAAAAATTATATATGAATATAACGGAGGACTCCACAGAAATTTTACAATATTTGGAGAAAGTGGTGTAAGGCTGAAAGGACTGATTATGAAGAGATAGGAGGGATATAAATCGAGGAAAAGAAAAAAAAAACAATGGGAAGATATGGCAAATCAAAAATTGATAAGATTTGAAATGTAAGATAGCATTAATCAGGATGATTGTAATGTGAGGCTGATTAAGTGTTTGGAAGGAATAGGTAGTAAATGCTGTATAAAGAAATGGATTTAGATGTATAAGTAATACAGAGTATAAAAAAAAAAAACAAATGGACATACAGTGCCTTTAAAAAGTATTCATACCCCTTGAAATTTTCTACATTTTGTCATGTTACAACCAAAAACAAATGTATTTTACTGAGAATTTATGTAATAGATCAACACAAAGTGGCACATAATTGGGCAGTGGAAGATAAATGATAAAAGGTTTTTCAAAATGTTTTTACAAATATCTGAAAAGTGTGGTGTGCATTTGTATTCATCATATTTCCCCAACAGAGTACCCCCTTCCATCATATTTCCCCAACAGAGAGCCCCCTTAACATACAATGTGCTCATCAGAGTGCCTCCTAACATACAATGTGCCCATCAGAGTGCACCTTAACATTAAATGTGCCAGTCAGAGTGTCCCTTAAAAATGTGCCCATTAGAGTGGCGCACAACATAAAATAAGGGGCATGCTGATGGGCACATTCTATGTTGTGCCCATCAGAGTACCCCTGTAAGACTACATCCTACCTTGAGGGCAGACAGGAGCTGTGCCAGGAACCTTGCTAGATGAAAGGGCAGGGCGCACACATGATGTCATGTTGCCGTGACTACCGCCCTGCTCAGCAGCAGATCTGTCATTGCACGCTGGCGGTCTGGGCGGCAGTGCTGCTGGGGCCGTTTGCAGTCTGCCATTTAGTGACCGCTGATCTAAATCATTCCATTGCAGCTCTGGCTGTATGTTTAGGGTCATTCTGCTTTTCAGATATTTGTAAAAAAAAAATAATTTGAAAACCATTATCTTCCTTCCACTTTACAATTATGTGCCACCTTGTGTTGGCCTATGTGACTATTTTTGTGTCCATACAATCTGACAGCTTGATTTCATTTGGTGGTATGTAGTTTAGTATTCATATAATACCTTCTGTATATAAGGAAGAAGTTTAGCAACCAGCATGTCAGAAATGTTAGCAGTATCCAAAGCAGACACTATACTTGAGACATAAAAAGACATCAAGATCCTCAGTTTGGCTGTGATCCCTGTGTAGTTTGAAAATTCCTGCAAAAAACATAATATCAATTAGTGGGCAGGCAATAAACATTACATAAAAAGGTAAATTGGTGGCAAAGGAAAGTCAAGCTTAAAGTTGCAGAACACCACCATCTTTCATAAGCACATAATATTTGGGTCACAATTTGCAGTCACAGGCACACCCTCCTCCTTCACATTTCCTTTTCCTACAGAGGTTACGCAGGCATTAGGCACTGTACTGTGGAAAGAGGCCATGATTTCTGCTGAAACTCTACTATGAGAATGTGGAAACACTGGGGGAAAAGCATGTTACAATAATATGCTGCACTACATATGATGTACGTCCTTGGTAATTAACCGATTAAGGACTACGGAGTTTCCTCAGTCTAGCTTTGGAGGCTGTACCCAGACCCTGCAGGAGTGGAGGGCTATCCTGGAATGTGACTTTTGGGCACCGGGCTCTGCATTATGGCACTTTCCAGACCTGAGGGTACTAGCTTTAGTTAGCCACAATGCCATTTCCAGGTACAGAACTATAGTACAGCCCTAGAAATGACCCGGTCTTTAAAGACTTCCCTTGGCGGCAAGGCCACTGGCGCTAAAGCACTAAGCTACCTGTATAGCTCAGTTTATACTGCTTGGTGCCTTTCAGAATTCCTGCTTTGCCTTTAATAAATCCACCCCAATGCGTCTTTACCAAGACAAAAGGGGGACAGTAGCACTACCACAGATGAACCCAGCAGCCATACATCCCTAATGGTTCTAGGGCCTTTATCTCCAGAAGGAACAGGAGTCTTAATCAGGAACTTTGGACAATATAGGGTTGACATCAGAGTTGCTCAAACCTGTTGGGCGAGGCAGATTATCCCTCTCCCATATCCACAGGGACCTACACATCCACTCAGAATATTTCTGTGCTCAGTTACTGAGGGAAGTCCCTTGGCTTACCTTTGCACAGCCAGTCTCCAACCCTCCGGAACCCTTAGATGAGGCTGGGCCTTTATCCCGGCAGTCTCTCTCTGGAAAAAGCATCTCTGAGGCAATGCAGTGTCATCTCCTCAGTTAAAGGTGGACCTTTACTGCTACAGTGTGTTATAACCAGCATCCAGAGAATAAACCTTGGGTCTTTTAGAGGTAGTGCTGGACCAACTAATTCTTCTATACAGACTGGAAGGGCCTGAGGGGTCCTGGGCCCTACCTGAGCATGTCTGAACTTCTCCCTTTTGAGAGGAAATTTGCAAAACTGTGGTCTGTTTTCACTGTGGATACACCAGTGACCCCACCTTTAGGCAGCCATTAGATTGGATGAGGGCGGGTCTCTCTCCTTAAATACAAGTTTGAATTTACTTTTCTCTTTGTCCCAAGTTGGCAGTGACATTATCTGTCAAACCATGTCAAAATGGGTGGATGCCATCAAAAATTTTTTCCACCGGCACCCTTTCATGAGCAGATGGAGCAAAGGTCAGGTGCTTCAGCTGTGATGGCCTGTTACAAACATCTAAACTTGTGCTTTGTACAAGTTTGCTGTTGATGCAGATGTGCAGAGCACAATGGATGTCTGGTTGGGATGCTGAAACTTCATCCAAGTAGTATCTGACTCGCTTACCCTACAAGGGACATTACTTCTTAAGCCCTGCTGTTGACACAGATTCACCAATGCCTCGGAAGGCCCGATTGTGCTCCTGCCTCAGAATGAGGGGTGTGCAGTTCTGAAAGGGATCCCACCCTTCTCATCTACTTTGACAGTAGATACCCACAGGCCTTCAGAACGTTATTCCCATTCACTCACTCAGGACCTGAAGACAGGCGTCACCGACCCCTCTGAAAAAAGTTTTCTACATGAAGGAACACAACTCACCTCTATAAGCGGAGGACTGACAGTGCATCCAGACAAATGTTTGAGTAGCGTGCCTCTATAGAATTTGGGTGCAGAGGACACCCATCTTAGCCCACAGACTAAATCCTTATCTCAAGCACATCATTCAGTTACTCCCCACTATCTTCATTGTGCTCCTGCACAAAATTATGCAACTCCCTTCCTCATAGAAAGCCCCCATCATTGGGTCCAATTAATTTACACATTGTACACTGTACCCTGCAACCTCCTCACCAGAGGGACTTCTTAACCTTCAGAGTACCACTTCTGGCTGTGGCCTATCCAAGTTTGGTCTCCTGGCATCCAGAGCAGGGATGTATCATGAAATCAGTGGGCCTGTGTACAAGATCAAAAGTGGGACCTGTCAAGATAAAATTGAGGTGGGCAAATTGCACTAAATATTGGGCGTGGCTTAAAGAGGGTATGGTTAAATAGAGTGCTTAACAAATCTTAGAGTACAATTAAGAGGGTGGTACGTACAGAAGAGGGGTACGGAGTTTATGGCAGTGGGTGGTATGTGCAGGATAGGAATACGGTGTGTATAGATGGTGGTATGTAAAAGAGAGGGGTATGGAGTGTATGGTGGTGGGTGGAATGTGCAGAATAGGGGTAGAATGCATGGTGCCAGGTGGTATGTGCAGGAGAAAGGTATGGAGTGTATGGTGGCAGGTGGTACATGCAAAATAGGGGAATGGAATGTATGGTGAGTGGGTGGTATGTGCATATGTGCAGGATAGGTGTATGGAGCATATGGCGGTGGGTAGTATGTGCAGGATAGGGCTATGGAGTATATGGAGGTGGGTGGTATGTACAGGAGCAGGGTGCGGAGTGTATGCCAGTGGGTGATATGTAAAGGAGAGGGGTGCAGAGCAAATGGAGGTGGGTAGTATGTGCAGAATAGGGGTATAGAGTGTACGGTGGCAGGTGGTATGTGCAGGAGAGGTATGGAGTGTATGGTGGTGGGTAGTATGTGCAGAATGGGGCATGGAATGTACACGAGTGGTTTGTGTTATGTACCAGATGTGAGAAATTAGGAAAAAGTATATTACTATTACATTAACTGCTGCAATGGAAGGTGATGATGGATATGGAGTGCAGAGAGGAAAAGCAGCAGGGGGTGAAGAGAGTAGGATGAGCAGTTGAGTGGTAATGTGAGGACTGCAGCTTGGACACTGGCAGTGGAGGGAAAAAGTTCTAGCAGAAGCAGCAATGAGGTAGAATTAGAATGTTGGCAGTATTCTGAAGATGCGACAACTGCAGATGAGAGATGGGGCACTGGTGAAAGGATGGCTTAGCATACAGAGGGATAAGACTAGTAGGTTTAAAGACTGGGGATCTGGAAAGGATTGAGGATGAATTGTTGGATCAACAAGGGGAGGAGGAGGGGGGAACTGGATTGCTGCAGGTGTAGTACAAGCCAAACAAGCAATGGGAGAGAAGAGACAGAGCAGCTGGACAAAACGAACGGGTTTGGGGAGTTGTGTACGGGAAAGATTCCATCATTTAACTTGCACAAAACAGATTCTGTCTTTAATGGTACAGAGTCAGTAAAGTTTACAGAGGCAGGAGAAGATCACGGCCACAATGCATAGTGAAAGAACACAGGAGGAGCAGGCATGGTGTCAGCTGTCAAGACTCTTCCCACCAGGCTGTATGCAGGGACTTATATCACCATGTAGAGTGCTTAAAGATGGCAGCAGCATCCCCCAAAGTCAGAGCTGGCTCATGGGGTCCCATGTGCTCATTCATAGATGCACTGTGGGTCAGAGCACAGTGCACCCCCCCCCATCCTGTCTCGGGGCCCGTATGCAGTGAACACCTTGCACCCATAGATGATACTCCACTGATCCAGATTCATAGTCTACTTCTTGGAGCATTGACCCCTGTGCCCTTTCCTGGTATCCTCATTGTGGAATGCTCAGACAACATCTTCTAAAGAAAATGCGCTTTTTTGTACCATTGTGGTCGGCACCCTTCTGAAGGGCCTAAACAAAAGATTCAACCATGTGGGGCTCTTCCCGTCCGAGGAGCAGAAAAACAAAATCACCACTAGTGATGGGACTTCACCTTCAGCCTCCCACCTGATGATTAGTCCTACTGAACTTTGGTCTAATCACGCTGTTAACCCTATTCTCTCTGGGCTAAGGGGATATCCTCTGAATATGGGTCCTCCAAAGTTTTCAATGAAAAGCGATACACCGATAATATGAGGAGAGAAAACTCAGTGTTTACCCATATAAAAGATTTGAAATAAATTAAAAGCAAACACTCACAAGAAAGTGCACATGCCTGGTACACTACAGATAACGGTGGTGTCAGGGTAATCTTTATGATTGCCGCAGCTGATGGAAGCTCCATATGAGAGGTTACTGTGCTCCCTCCCCTCATCTCCTGATTTTGTCCTGTCACCGTGATCCGAGTAATCCCGCCGGCGGTGAAGCGGTATGCCGGTGTATGAATTTCACTCACTCCACTGTACACCCTTACATGTTACGTCTACGCGACTTTGTCAGACCGTAACACGTAAGGGTGCACAGTGAAACGAGTGACATTCATACACTAGCATACCGCTTCAGGGAGAATAGGGTTAACAGCGCAGACCGAAGTTCAGTAGGTCTAATAATCAGGTGAGAGGCTGAAGGTGAAGGTCCCTCACTAGCGGCGAATTCGTTTTTTTCTGCTCCTCTAGAACACTCAGGTGGAAGGGAACTTTCTTAAACACACTTGGGACTTTCACTTGGATGTTTCACATGCTATTTTGATGAATAGTTACGTCATTATTATGATACATTTGGCTCATTGACTCAGTATTGTCTGTAGCGCTGTCCTGTTTATATTATTGCTGTTCAGATATGTGGTGAGATCATATGTATGAGGACTTAGCGGCAGCAATTTATCTTGTTCATTTTTTATATATTGGTTTATCAGAATTGCGCACAGGTCATCATAAACTTATACTTTAAATTTACTTTTCACAAAAATTCACACAAACCTTTACAGATTTTGTGACAAAGCTGCAGATGAACTCCAAAAATCCTATGTCCATATAACAATGCATGATTAGAGTACTTCGGGCCAATGGGACACCTGATTTCTGCAGAGAGAAATGCAATACATTAATCAAAAGCATAGATAGTACACATTAAGTAGGCTCTTACCCAGCAGCCAACAAGTCAGGCAGATGTCAGTTTTATACGATTACAATTTAGTATAGTTCCTATTATAATTACACACAAACCTTCGGAAAACACTCAAAAATATTTTACACAAAACAGAAAAATGTTATTGCATAAGGCAAGCAAAAACCTAAAACCACATGGTTTTAACAATTTTCCAGTGCCATCAACCCTTTTAAAAAAAAATGGATTTATAAAAAGCAACTATTCCATATACTGTATGTATAATTATGGTGGACCAATAAATAGATTAAAAGAGTTATGTCATACCATATATATTTTAATCTGCATCTCAAAACTTTATAAAATTACTCAAAATGTACCAAGAGTCTCCCTAGCCAAGTGCCATGTATTATATAGTCTGTACAATAAGATTTTAGTTCTGTGTTGACCAAGTCAACCAAGAAAACCTAAACATGGATAGAGCCATGAAGCAACCTAAACAAGATGGATAGAACCATGAAGCAATATATTGTGAATTCCTGCACAGGCTAAGAAATGTAAATATCCTGAAAAGCTAAAGTGTAATTCTTAAGAGCATATATATGTCCATCTACTACAAAAACGCAAAAAAACTAAATGGACACTGTTACACTGCATGAGAAATATGGCACAGCTGAAGCCTCCTGCATATTTTGCTGGCACCTTCTATTCCAGGTGCTGGTCCCTCAAAGAGCACATCATGCTCCCTCCATCCACAGTAATACAGTATGTTCCTGGCTACACTGTGTGCATCAACCATATTTCAAAGTAAAAAAAAATGCAGGCTGCTGACGTAGCACCATCTAAAAAGATGTGAACATACTTATAACTAGGGATAGACTTCATGTTCAAGTCTAACATGGGCCGTTCATGTGTTCGGTGTATACACGAACGGTAAGGGCATTTGGCAGGGCGTTTGGTGGGCCGTTTGCCCGCCGCACCCCACAATGCACTGCACCCTGACCACAGGTCAGGTGCAATGTTTTGGCCAATCACAGCACATGATGTCACAAGGGGGCGGGATGATCCCACTCCCTTGTAACATCACACTATTTAGGAATGGACGACCGGCGGAGAGTTTTTTTCTTTTTTCGAGTTGGTGGTGGGCATAGTGATTGACATTAGATCTACTTTGGGGGACTTTTGTTTTTAATAAAAAGGACGTCTCAAAGACTCTTGTCATTTTTACACTACACTTTTTTTTGTGAATGGGTAGCGGTACCATGTACCCCACATTCATTCACATGGGGGGCGGGATCTGGGGGCTTTCAGATTCAGAAAGCCCCCCTGCCCGCAGACCCCCACAACCACCGGCGACAGTTGAAAGGTAGAGGCCCTTGTCCCCCCTAAGTTGAGGGAATGTGGCCTGGTATGGTTCGGGGGAAGGGGGGGGGGGGGTTGTGATCAAAAGAAATGGGAGGCACCTGAACTAAAATTTCAAGTATTGTTGCAAAGGGTCTGAATATTTTCGACAATATATTTAACTTTTTCCTTTCACAAATTTGCATAATTTTCATAATGCTAACGTTCAAGAGAGAGATCGATCTAGCTCAAGTGTAGCACCCGCTAGCAAGCAAAGTTCATGACAAATATTTCCATTTAAAGGGCTTGTTGGTCCACTTTTATTTAAAGAAATGTTCACACAAAATTCCATAAAGCATAATTTGTGGCAAATCTTCCCATACCATCCCTATCAGCTACTCATAGGGATCTTTCTAGAGGAGACAGGTGTCAGATCAGATTCATCAGGCTATAGATATCTCAATCCTTCACTCTTCATGGGATGGAGGGGGTGTCTGTTAAAGTCTATTGCTTTCTCTGGACAACAGGGAAGCGTTTGAAACGTTCTCATGGTCATATTTGTTTAAAATTGTATCCAATTGGCAGTTTGGCCCTAAATTTGTGTAATTTTTGGGGACTTCATATAAACAATCCTTCAGCTCAAATCCGCATGAAGGGTTATACCTCGGAGCCCCTCCCAATCGCATCAGGCACACAACAGGCTTGCCCGCTCTCCACTCTGTTCATCATCGCAACGGAAACTCGTAACTATTAGAGATGAGCGAAGTAATCAAAAATTCGATTCGACTGATTCGGCGAATTCGTGGACAATATTCGATTCGAGTCGAATATATTCGCTGTGAATTTAACTTAAAAAAGGGTGTTTCTAGGCTTCAGAGAGACTTAATATTAGTGCAGAACACTGTACCTTTAATTTAAATGCCCTTGGAGTCTGCTGGGGAAGAGAAATAATACTGTCAGTCAGTATGACATGCAGATGAGTGCCGTCGATCTTAGAATCACCGCACACTTCACTCATTTGGCCAGTCACGGGGCCAAAACCAGTGTTTGGAGCCACAGTGTGGCGGTGGAGGCAGCAGCAATGGGAAGCCATACAGCAACCTATGACAAAATGGAAACCAGCAGGAGTGTGAGGAGACCTCAAAGTGGCACATGGCAGAGTGGGAGCAATGGGAGGCGGTACAGGGACCCATGTCACACTGTGGACCCAGCAGCAGCGTGACCAGGCGGTACGGGGGCCCATGGCAGATTTGGGGCCTGGCAGCACCTATGGGAGGCCTGTAATCTGCCAGCAACCTATGACAAAATGGAAACCAGCAGGAGTGTGAGGAGACCTGAAAGTGGCACATGGCAGAGTGGGAGCAATGGGAGGCGGTACAGGGACCCATGTCACACTGTGGACCCAGCAGCAGCGTGACCAGGCGGTACGGGGGCCCATGGCAGATTACAGGCCTGGCAGCAGCAATGGGAGGCCCGTAATCTGCCAGCACCCTATGACAAAAAATGGAACACACCAGCAGTGTGTGAGGAGACCTGAAAGTGGCACATGGCAGAGTGTGGCGATGGAGACAGCAGCAATGGGAGGCCGTACAGGGACCCATGAGAGACTCTGGACTTGGCAGCAGCATGAGGAGGCGGTATATAGGGGCCCATGGCAGATTAGGGGCCTGGCAGCAGCTATGGGAGGCCCGTAATCTGCCAGCACCCTATGTCAAAAAATTCAACACACCTGCAGTGTGAGGAGACCTGAAAGTGGCACATGGCAGAGTGTGGCGATGGAGACAGCAGCAATGGGAGGCCGTACAGGGACCCATGAGAGACTCTGGACTTGGCAGCAGCATGAGGAGGCGGTATATAGGGGCCCATGGCAGATTAGGGGCCTGGCAGCAGCTATGGGAGGCCCGTAATCTGCCAGCACCCTATGTCAAAAAATTCAACACACCTGCAGTGTGAGGAGACCTGAAAGTGGCACATGGCAGAGTGTGGCGATGGAGACAGCAGCAATGGGAGGCCGTACAGGGACCCATGAGAGACTCTGGACTTGGCAGCAGCATGAGGAGGCGGTATATAGGGGCCCATGGCAGATTAGGGGCCTGGCAGCAGCTATGGGAGGCCCGTAATCTGCCAGCACCCTATGTCAAAAAATTCAACACACCTGCAGTGTGAGGAGACCTGAAAGTGGCACATGGCAGAGTGTGGCGATGGAGACAGCAGCAATGGGAGGCCGTACAGGGACCCATGAGAGACTCTGGACTTGGCAGCAGCATGAGGAGGCGGTATAGGGGCCCATGGCAGATTAGGGGCCTGGCAGCAGCTATGGGAGGCCCGTAATCTGCCAGCACCCTATGTCAAAAAATTCAACACACCTGCAGTGTGAGGAGACCTGAAAGTGGCACATGGCAGAGTGTGGCGATGGAGACAGCAGCAATGGGAGGCCGTACAGGGACCCATGAGAGACTCTGGACCTGGCAGCAGCATGAGGAGGCGGTATATAGGGGCCCATGGCAGATTAGGGGCCTGGCAGCAGCTATGGGAGGCCCGTAATCTGCCAGCACCCTATGTCAAAAAATTCAAACACACCAGCAGTGTGAGGAGACCTGAAAGTGGCACATGTTTGGGGCATGATTCATGGCGGATTTAGTCAGTTGTGTCAGGAACTGGTGGTTTGAAATCCAGACTAATCCACGCCTGATTCATTTTCACAAACGTGAGTCTCTCCACACTTTGGGTGGACAGTCGTGTCCTCCGCGGAGTTACAATACCTCCTGCCGCACTAAACACGCGCTCCGATGCCACGCTACTGGCCGGGCATGACAGCCTTTCAAGGGCAAATTCAGCTAGTTGGGGCCAAAGGTCAAGTTTCGTTGCCCAGTAGTCAAGGGGATTGTCTACCTCGGTTGGCAGGGTGCTGTCCAAGTAGGCCCAAGCCTGTTTGAGCTCCTGCTCCAGGTCCACCTGATGCTGCTGCTGCTGGTTAGTAGTTTCCTCACTGCGCTGGTGAAGAAAGCTACTCATCATCGACTGCAGACTGAGGCAGCCGCTGCTGGTGGAGCTGCCACTGCTCCTACCACCCCACCCCTCCCCTGCTGCCATGGCAGCGGAACGCGAGCGCACAGGGCCCACAGTGTCTGAGGATGGACGTTGACGCACAAAGGCAGAGACCAACTGACTACATAGGTGGTTTTTATAGTACGTTATTTTGGCCTCCCTCTCAGCAGGTGTGAAAAAGGCCACCATTTTTGAACGGTAGCGAGGGTCCAACAAGGTGGACAGCCAAAACTCATCCCTCTGTCTGATGGTTATTATTCGGCTGTCGCTACGCAAGCAACCGAGCATGCTATGGGCCATTTGTGCCAAGGAATGCGAGGGACTCCCTGCCTCCATCTCCACAGCATACTGCCACGGTGCGTCTGGGTCCTCTGTCTCCTCCTCCTCCTCCTCCTCTCTACCACATGCTCCTGCTCCTCCACTCCTGTCCGCTGAGTGGAAAAACCACCCATTTCACTCAATAATTCCTGAGCACAAATGTCCTCCTCTACCTCCTCCTCTTCTTCCTGTCCTGCCCCCACAGGGGTCATGTGGCGTTGAGATCTGTGTGCCACGTCTACCGCACCCTGACCAGCCATTGTTAACA